TTGCAAAAATAGAAATCTGTGATGTTGTAGGCAATTGTTCAAAATGTGTGTGTGTGTGTGTGTTTGTGTGTGTGCATACATCAAGAATGCTGAAGCTAACTATACGATGACTAAGGCAGAGAAAACAGAACCTGAGAACTGAGAAAAATTTGGTTTTCTGATTAACTAAAAGTACATGGAAACTCTTGGGAAATATGGGAAGATCTGCAAGGACATGCAGGATACTGAGAAACAACAAGTAGATGATGTTCTGAACTTAGTAGTATAGCCTTTGGGAAGATCAAGGCCATAACTTGTTCCCAGTACAAAACATCACATAAAATATCAGGCCATACTATTTTGCTACAGAAGAAATCACTAAACCTGTGGGGCAAAGTTACCAAAACTACAAAACTTTTCATCACTTCCTCCTGCTGAGGGTTGGCTACCCACGCTATGCAGGCACCAAATGCTAATATCAGAGTAAACATACAGAATTCATTTGAATCTGTAAAGTTGGAGTCTGTAAACCACATCAGTTATAATTAATATTAAACTCTCCATTCTCAAATGTAGGATAACTTCTCTCATGTTTCAGTTGGGGGTGACAGAATAAGGGGCAGGCTGTTCAATGACCTGGTATCTTGAACAGAGCTTCTAAGATCCCCCAAGTCCTCATTCAACTGATCACATGGCACAAACTTGAAGTGGAGGAATGCATGGAGGTTCACACTTAGATGTCCTTTGGTTGCTTCTATATCACCCAAAGTTCCCATAGAATGATCACCTTTCCCCTTCCTTTGGATTATGTAGACTTTTCTTTGTCAGTCTTGGGTAAAGGACTGAATACTGTAGGGAGCAACTTAAACATTAAACTAAGACAACAGAATCAAAACAAACATAACACTAGCTACTGTCTCTGGGGAAGAAAATTCTTTACCATGTACTATGCTCCAATTTTGGAATCAGTGGATACCTGCTGAGACATTAAGTTCATTAGATTTATTCTGCACTGACACTCTGAATTGTGTGATTTCTTCATTGATGCTGCTTTCATGGTTCCATCATCATTACAATGCACTTGGGAGACAGACTTGGGAGCTGTATATGGCAGCTTTGCTCTGTCGCACATATGGCTGGATACATCAAAAGCAGTGAGGGATGCAAGGTTGAAATTAACTCCGTTTAGACTAAAGCATTATTTCTATTGGACTGAAAGCAAGATGCATGAACTAAGGATTCCCAAAGCATTTTTTACTTCTTTTCAGTCTGGAGGGAATTAATAATGATGCACCTATTATTGAATTCTAGATATTTTAATAGTTTCCAAAATGTGAGCTTAAACCCATACATTTATAAAAAACTGGAAAAATGCAAACTCATTAAAATGTTAAGATTTTTTTCTTTGGTTGGTGAGAATATAATTTTTTCCCTGCTTTTCAAAGTCTTTCTAAAAAGTCTATGTATTCTTTCATAGCAGAGAAAATATATAATAAATTGCATTACATTAGTTTATCTAATTTCTTCTAGCATATTTGGAAAAAAAAGAAAGAAAGAGAAAATTAGCTTATTTCCTGATATGACAGATGGATGTCTGGGAACTACATTTTAAAAATGATTTTAATAAGTGAGAGTAGGCAAAATAATAACATTTTTCTGGCATTTAAACCTAATATAAATGAGTAAAAAGGCACAGTCCTACCTTAATGAAATATTTCTGCCAAAAATCATTCATTTTTATTTGTCATGTGGATAAATAAATGTTATTCTCCCCCAACTCCCACCATTAGTTCTACTTCTGTTTTCTTCCTGCCATTTTTACCTTTCTCTTTTTCTTTCTCCCCATCTCTGCTTTTATTATTAAAATCTGAGAAGGAGCACAATTGTTCAAATACATTGAAATAAAGATGTTTGTCTTTTGAGGTAACAGTCTTTGCCATTTTGTACATTTATTTCTCATCTTGCTTCCTACTCATAAATTATATGTGTGTGAATTGTTCTTTCTATATTGTTCATTAAACTTATGTATATATTATTCTAACTCTACAAACAGGTAGTAACTAGGACATATTTTCCATTAATGAGAACTTTTTGATATATCTACATTGCAATTCAACCTTTACAGACACATTTGTAAGTGTATATATGCTAAGATATGTATTTTAGGCCATTGTAAGTACTATAAGTACAAAAATTGCTATGTCTAAAACAATTTGTACTTTTCCATTTGCAATTTTCTTAGTCTATTATAAACAAATGCACATTTTATAGAGCACATTTAAATGCATTATTTCCATGCTTTAAATGTACTCTTTTTAAAAAGGGCATTAAAAGAAATGTTAATGCAGTCATTTTACTAATTTCACACAGGCAAAGGGTAAATCGCTTGAAGATTGGAAATTCAAATAAAACATCCTGTGTTGAAAGATATATAATCCTGTATTTTTAGTTCAGCAGTGAATCAATCAGGCTGAACCCGATACTATATAGAGTAAATATGACCAAATTAAAAAATGCAATCCGCAGTTTAGAGCCCTGTATACTTCCAACTCGGAGAGATCTGTGTGCGTTCCTTGATGTCTATTTCTACCACTTACATACATGAACTGAGGTGCGTTCATGAGGTCTTATTGAAAGTTTCTTTCATCTGGGAATGAGTGCTCATCTTATAAGGTGTGAAACAGTGCACACAAAACATCCACGTAACAAGAGGTCTGTAGTAGCTGCTCACACCCGTGTTTTCGCTGTTGCCCTCCATCAGTTCACGACCCAGTCATTTATCCCACAAAGCAGAGCTCAGCTCTTCCTAGATCTCGTTCTAGTGATAAATCCACTGTGCCATTTCCTTTAATTCCTGGGATGTCTCCATTCCAACAACAGACATGAACATAGACGCCACTGTTAGTGGGGACATAACAGTGCTCCCAGTGCACAGTGTGTCCACTCCTTGAGGGCAGAAATGGGCTGGGGGCAAAATAAACATAAAACCAAGTCCGAATGGTAGAATTCTTCAGCATATGCTGGGCTTTCATTTCTATCCTCCGTTTTTCAGCTAGCCTACAAATTCCTATATTTTTCCCCCACTGGGGGTATTTAATCAGCTTATATAAAAGGTCTGTTTAAAAAACATGCCTGGCATTGAAAATCAATAAACATTATTAATTTGACATTTTCAGTGTTAATTTCCTGGAAATAGTGGCTCCGACCACATTATCTTTATATGGGTTTCACCTTATCTTAGCTGAGCTCCTTTGCTCCTGAAAACTTAGCACTCGTGGAGCCTGAGACAAATCCTGCATTTACTGGGTAAATGGCAGGGTGCAGGCTCACACACACCTCATATGGACCTGCTACATCCAATGTTCTACTGTGAGCTACTGAGCCCTTTGGAAGCCACCTCTTGGGACCTTGACTGCTTTTCTTGTTCCTGGGTCCATCTGTGCCTCATTAAGTTGCCCAATATTCCTTCCAAGAGAGAAGTTATGGTTTATTTCTTCTACCAGTGATCTAGGGGTGGAAGTCTGCTCTGAGTCTTCTCTTGATTTACTTTCTAAACTCACTCTGAGCAGTAACCTAAATTTTTCTGATTCCTGGGTCAGCTGATATATATAAAGTAACTGTCTTGAGCAGTATCCATTTCTTGCCACTCTACTCTTCAGATGCCAAACTGACCTAACTTGTTACATCTCTTTATCTGTATTGGTGTCGCCACAAACACCGCAGCCCTATCCCCACCAGTATGCCCACTTTCCTTGACTCAACCTTACTTAGTTGGCCTCTTCCTAGCATCTACTGGCTTCTTGGCTCCTTCTCTGACCTAAAAAAATTCAAGAGTGCAGTAATAGTTATGGCTTTTTGGCCCAGGAGTGTGGCGGTTGAGGAACAACCAGAAGTCTTACGGCAGTCATTCTAAAGGCTCCAAATTATATGGATTTTTTCCCCTCCATTAATTTTGTTCTGAATCTATAAATGCCATCTGGGATTCTTTAAAAGTTTTCTCAATCAGTGTTTGTGCTTTGAAAAATACTCCATCTTGCCTGGTTGTTGGCTGTTGAGAGAATTGATGCTCTGTTCTTTGTTCTGCTATGCACCACCTTGAGAGGCATTTCTCTGTTTAGGGATACACGGAAAGCGTTATTTTTAACAGATAAGATGACTGAGAAGATAGCCTTGACATAGACCCAATAAAACAGAAATAGGATAATATTAAGACTGCTGGAGATGGAGTGCCCTGGGAAATGTTTGTGCTCATTCAATACAAAGTTCACACACACACACACACACACACACACACACACACACACACACACACACACACACACACACACACACACACACACTGTATCCATACATATAGGTCTGCCTGGATTAAGTGAGCTGTCTCCACCTTCCCACAGGAAAGGAGCTGGGGCCTCAGCAGGGGTAAATGAGCTTCCTGCAGGTTTAAGGAGCTGTTCCCTGATCCAAACTGGGGTGCTTGAACAGTTCTGATAATGAAATGAAATGAATTTTCGACTGCTATAGAAATGCTGCTCAGCCGACCCAAACAGGCATCTCCATTGGTGCTCACAGACAAAATGAGTTCATCACAGATGTGCCATCTCTTAAAAGTCTTCCTCTTGTTTTATTTTAAGCAGCTCTATCTCTCCGAGTGGGTCCTTCACAAGGTTATCCGTGTCTGAGCTGCAGGAAGAGTGTCCAACCTGCCTCCTACCTCTTCATGTTTCAGCCTGGCCATCCTGTTAGAGGGATGCAGTTGGAGTGAGGGCAGAGCAAGCTCGTGTGGGTGAGCACCAGCCAGGGAGCCCACCTGCATGCACAGGACTATGGAGAGAACTTCCTGGTTAGAAAGATTGATTTACATTCCAACTCACTTTTGTGAGCCTTTCCAAGTTCCTGAGATTTGACCACAGAAGAAAATTAAATTTCTATGAGTAAATGTGACTATGGGAAAGCTAAATAGTAAACTAAGAAAAAAGGTTTGCAAATAAATGACAAAGATTTATTATTCTTTTTTACAGACAGAGAACTTACCAGCCCCTGAGAAATAAAGGAAATCTTCCATTTCTCAATCTCTCCAAGCTGTACAAAGAGCAGTGTCACACAGTTCACAAAAGATAATTTTAATTGGTCTATAAACACATAAAAAAATTACATCTCCACTAATCTCAATTACATTTTTACAAATTGGAACTGTATCAGTTTTATTTAAGATGAACTAAAATGTTTCATTGCTTGTAAGTTTAAGAGCGAGATGATATTTCTTTGACAGGTCAAATGGGAGTATAAATTATTTTTATTGTTTTATAAGTCAATTTATTTTTATGTACACATCATTTATCCAATTTGTGAAAAATTATAATAATATGATAAAATGTTCACTCATTAGCCATTCTAGACTTAAAACATATGTTTTATAAAATATAGAATTTTAATGAGTAAATTTGTAAGAAAAAATTAAATAGCCTGCATCAAAATGAGTAGCAATTAAAAACATTATAGACTTATAGGTGGCTTTCATTTTTTTCTTTCCTGTATTTTCTTCATCTTCTAAAATGATTAACATAAAACATCTATGAACCCCTATATACCTGTGTTTAAAAAGGTACTTACCTGCTCTAGTTTTCTTGTTGTTTTAATATCTAATTGTAGAATATTTTCAGCCACACCTATATTTAAACAGAGCACAGGCAAAGGCTTTCCAGCTGTGGCAAGTCAGGTCTCTGTGTGTGAGTTACGGAGCGTGACCGTCATACACGGACGTTCAGCCTCATCCCTCTGTAATCACGCATAATGTTGTAAATCGTTGTTTTCAGTTTTCCCTGGTATATGTTTCTGTTTAGAAAGAAACCAGCACACATCTCATTACCCAAGGTGTTACCAATGGACATTTTTAGAAAAACATATAGAGGGGGCAGCGATATAGCTCAGTGGTTTCACTACCTGCCTTGGAAGCGCAAGGTCCTGAGTTTAACCCTTGGTACCAAAAAAACAAAAAACATGTACTCGATTTTGAAACACAGCTTGTGATTTAGTGCAGCAGCCCTAGGTTTGGTAAAGTCATAGGCATAGGCCACCCTTCACTACAGAGTTCACGTGGAGTCCGAGAGGGAACGTTGCCTATCCTGTAATTTATAGCACATTGCGCAGCTCTAAATTTGAGGAATGCACCCAGCCCAGATGCGATGGCCTGGCACGATGCATACTGGCTAATGCAGAGAGCTGCCATGTTTATGAGGATGGCCTGACAGACAGCCCACTGTTTCCAGAAGGTCTGATATGACCTTCACCCATCCAGCCTCTATCATTCACACATGTGACCACAGATGCAGATAGTGACCTGTTTACTGCATGCTACAGATTTTGAAAAAAGTATTCATCTTTTATTATGCATCTTGGCTGCAGTAAGGTTCTGTATCTGCCCACAATTAAATTGAAATAATTGTTTCACTTATATAAGTAGATATCTGACCTGGTTTTGACGTCAGTTGGTAACAATACCATTATATAAAAACAGGAAACTAAGCCTTACCAGATGTTAAATAACTGCCCATGATCACACAGCTAGAAAAGACTAAAATGGTAGAAGCGGGTCTTAGTCCCAGCTCTAACACTGACTAGCTACCTGACATGAAAAGCAATACCTAACCTCTCTGTGCTTCTTTCTTTCTGTCCATGGCCTCTCTTTCTCCAGAAAGCTACTCAAATTATTTATGTGATAATAGCTTACAAGGGACAAAAACAGTAGCTGCCTGACTTCTTACATTCTCAGTTCACACTAAGGATCTGCCAGTTGAGCCATATTATAGCCCAAAGCAAACACTGATTCCATGAATTTCCCATTTACTAGTTTCACTGAGTGGGTGACTACCACATCTACCCTTTCTGAGCTCTTCAGAAGCCACCTACCTAAACTTTCAAGTCTTTCCTTTCACATTTAAAGATAAGAATCGAATTCACTCACCACTGAAATAAGTGGTACATGCACTTCGTAGAAACTCTCATGGAAATGTATATTTTAAACGAAATTTAAGAAAAACTCAGCTTTTGCCATTCAAAGCAGGATTTTTTTTTAGTTTATATTAGGAAAATAATCTTGAAAGCTCATCTTGTGTAAGTAGATAAGTTTTTAAAATTACTTATTAATTCTATTAGCTTCCACTAACCTAACCAAAAGGAGGTATGGTGATCCAGATAGTGTAATATTTTACTATAAGCAAAGGAGTGAGGAAGGGGCACAGGGAAAGATTTAGGTACTAGATAAGGGAAAACACAGGTAGGTCAATGGGGGATTTAAAGAAGGAAATCCTAGGCAGAGGCCTTCAAATTAGGTTTGAAAGTATTTTGATAGATAATCAAGACTATGAAGTGATTAAGAATTAAAGAATTGCTTGCAGAAAACCTGGAAGTTCCTCGTGCTAGTCGAACAATTTGGGAATATGTTTAAGTAAGAGTGTATCAGCAGAAGTCTGGGTAGGACAAGGGGCATTTGTATGCAGGTATTTGGCAGATGGGGTTGAAAGGCATGGATCAGAATCCTGAACAAAGGATGCCAACATGATGTTTCAAGAGACCAGATCATAGCAAGAGACTCCAATAGGCCCAGTCTGGGGGACAGACCAGACTGTCACTGGCAGAGACTTGTGAAGATATGCAGGCATTATCTGCTACAGAAATGACCAACCATTTACTCAAAAAAGATAATGTGAACTGATTTAATATATTAAATTATCAAACAAAGACAATTTGAATTTAATGATTCTGAGATATAGTTAATTGGAAGTATTACATTAAGCATATTCCTGATGTCCAGAAGGTAGAATTTTATTTAAGAATATTATTAAGTAAGTCAGTTACATAAACTAAGGAATATATAACTTATCACTTTGAGTTTTTGGTGATATAAATTTTAAAATAGTTTTATTTAGACATATTTTACCTACTGCAAATTTCAGCTACTTAAAGTACATGATACAATGGTTTTTGTGCTTGTTTTAGCCGAATGTACACTAATCCAATGGTTTTTACTATTGAATTTACAAAGTTGTCCAACTATCATGTTAATCTAAATTTAGAACATTTTTATTATCCTTTGCTTCTGGACACTTCTATGTCATCTACTGGTTGCTCAGAACATGGACATCTGTATGTTCAAAGGTGACTGCAAAGCTTCAGAGAAGGTATGGCACCAGTCCTGTGGAATAGCCTACTCACCACACTTTCTCAACTCCCCCTTTCCAAATTTTTTATAACTATGGAGATTACAACTCTAAAGACATCTTCTCAGCTTCCCTTGCAGGTAGAAGTAGCCTGATAGAATTTAGGCTGAAAAATGACCACTAAAATCTTATAGAATCTTGTCCCATCACCAATCTAATATTTTGAACTTCAACAATTGGCTAGTGACCATGAGACAACAGCAGTGATGACAACAATTCCATGCCAAGAATGGAAAAGCAGTGATCTAGGTCTTTGATGGCGCTGACCTCCCTCAAATTCAAGAGACAAAGAAAAAGTGTTTCCTCCGCTGTTTGGTTTGCTCTCCTTATGGCCAAACCCATTTCAACACATGAAAAAGGAAACTATTGCCATCTGAGCACATATCCCAAATGCTATTTACTTATACTCCTGCATCTCTTCTCATTTAAATTTATCAACCCATTCACTGAACATATATTTATTAATTATCTACTAGACAACAGATACTCTTGCAGATGCTGGAGATAAAGTGATGGACTAAAATCCCTGGAGATAAACTCTGGGAATGATATTCTACCTTCTGGAAATTTAAGCTCTGCAAACCTTCTCCCAGATGAGCTTCTCCTTCATTCAAGATGCATGACCTTGTGAAATTAGCCAATTCACAGAGTAGCGGGAAACTGAACTATGATTTCTCCTTTGGGTGTTTCATCTTATTTCACCAATCAAGTTATAAGCAACTTGTGCTTCTTTTATGCCTCAATTTTTTGTTATTGCTTTGGGGGGTGGTATTTTTATTTTGGAGGATTTTTTATTTGCATTTTGGTAGTGTTTTAATAAAGTCTGTCAGCTGACTAATTTCTTGGTTAAAGAAAATAACTTGCAAACTTGCCCAAAATACCTGTCCAGCAACCACTACCTCACTTTCTTCTACTACATGTCCTTCAAAGAAGGACAGAAACACAAATTAGGTCACTTGCACTTTCAGTCGCTCTCTGCTGTCACTTTGGTTTATATATCCTATACAAGTTGGATTTATTTACATTGTTCTTGGTTGACATTTATTTGTACAACCTGTCCTTTGAGTAAATCCCTGCAAATTTCCTCGTTCTTAATGCCATTCCTTTGAGCTATGTTTCAGCACAGAGCTTCCTTTGTTCCCAAGAATTCTGATAATGTCTCCCACAGCTGCCCACAACAACTTATAGAGAAGAATGTGTCTATCACCTGTCCAGAAAGGGGGATACAAGTGCGGTTTTCAATCCACCGTGGCACAGTGTAAGTGGAGAAAAAGTCTTATGTTAAGGAGATTTTAGCTCTCTAATGCCAAGACATCTGCAAGTCTGAACCAGAGGTAACATGAGTGTGAAGAGGAATGTACTTAGTTTAAGCAGCCAAAGCATGGCATCTCAGTATACGAAAGCAACCTACAATATTCAACACTGTAGTATATTAGCACATTGTAATTCAACCTTGTATTGCAAAGATTCCTCATGTAAATGGTTTAGAAAATCTGCAGACCATTATTGTTAATAACAAGCAATTTGCAGCATTTGGAGATCACAAAACCTGTTCAAATTAGTAAACAGTATCATTCAAAGCTCACTATCATGAAAGAGAAGTTAAGCAGTCTGACAAAGACTCCACAGACAGTCACAAGGCACAGCAAATCTACAAGAGGCTAGGAGTCGCACTGTGATGCCCAAATCCCCCAAAGCATAGCACTCTTAGGTATAGTGTTGCCCTCTGGTGTCTTGCTTTCCCACATTACCTATTCATCAGAGTCCTCTCAACTTTCAAAGAGTTGAACTCAAAGGCATGAAAGTGGTTAGATGGAAATTTTAGGATTTGAACACCTGCACGAAAGTAATGAGCAAAAGAGAACTGATGGAAGCCAATTATTCCCCCAAGTAACAGATTATTTTAAGCACTATATAAGTGACTAGATATTGTTCACT